CTCTAGGCCAGAAGAAAATGGGATGATACATTGAAAATACTAAAAGAAAAAAATTGCCAGCTAAGAATAATATACCCAGCAAGGCTACCTTCACAAATGAGGCAGAAATAGTGTATTTTCCAGACTAACAAAAACTGTGGGAGTTCACTACCACATGACCATCCCTGCAAGAAATCTTCAAGGGACTCCTGCATCTGGAATCAAAAAAACAATAATCACTACCACAAACATGCAAGAAAGAACAAAACCCACTGGTAGAACAAAAATGCAAACAAGAAAGGGAAAGAAACTAAATATTACTACCTCAAAAAAAAAAAACACACATCAAAAACAAACCAAAAAAAAGGGGAAGAAAGGAACAAAAGACATATAAAACATCCAAACAAAAATTGATAAGATGCCAGGATTAAGACAATGCATTTCAATAACAACTCTAAGTGTGAATAGGTTAAATTCCCCACTCAAAAGACACACACTGACTGATTGGATTAAAAAGCTAGACCCAACTATATGCTGTCTACAAGAGACTCACCTCACCTGTAAAGACACACACAGACTAAGAGAGAAGGGATGGAAAAAGATATACCATGCAAATCGAAACCAAACAAGGAGGAATAGCTAGTCTTATATCACATAAAATAGACTTTAAATCAAAAACCATAAAAAGAGACAAAGAGAAACATTATATCATGATAAAGGAATCTATCCAGCAAGAAGATATAACGGTAAATAAAGGAATTCCAAGCAACAATCTGAAGGAAAATTCAATGAGATACAAGAAGACTCAGGTAGACAACATAAAGAAACAAGAAAAAAATATATATGCACCCAAACTGGAAAACCCAGATGTATAAAGCAAACACTATTAGACCATTATAAACAACCAGCAAATTTGAAAACCTGGAGGAAATGAATAAATTTCTGGACACATATAAACCGTGAAGAGTGAACTAAGAAGAAATAGAAAACCTGAACAAACCAATAACAAGCAAAAATATTGAAGCAGTAATCAGCAGTCTCCCAAAAAAGAAAAGCCCAGGACTGGATGGTTTCACTGGTGAATTCTACCAGACATTTAAATAAAAATTAATACCAATTCTCTTCAAACTATTCCAAAAATTGAAATGAAAGCCATTCTCACAAAGTCATTCAATAAGGCAAGCATCACCCTGATACCAAACCAGACAAAGATACAACAAAAAAAGAAAACTACAGGTCTCTAATGATTCTTTGTATTTCTGTGGTATCAGTTGTAATGTCACCTTTTTCATTTCTGATTTTTGTTATTTGGAACTTTTCTCTTCATTTGTTAGTTAGCCTAGCTAAGGGTTTATCTATTTTATCTATCTTCTCAAAAAACCAACTTTTTGTTTCATTGATCTTTTGTATCTTTTTGTGGGGGTCTCTACTTCATTTAATTCTACTCTGATCTTAATTATTTCTTTCTGTCTACTAACTTTGGGATTGATTGTTCTTGTTTTCTAGTTATTTGAGGTGTCGAAAGAGATAGACCCCAATATGATAATAGTTTGGTACCTGAATATCCCTCTCTCAGCATTGGACAGATCATCCCGGCAACAAAACAAGAGAGAAACACAGGATTTAAATTACTCTTTAGACCAATTGGACCCTGCAGATATCTGCAGAACATTTCATCCAACAACCACAGAATATACATTCTTCATTTGGGGTCTTTTGTTGTTCCACATGAATGTTAGGATTTTTTCTATTTCTTTGGAGAATGTCATTGGTATTTTGATGGGCATTGCATTGAATCTGTAGATAGCTTTGGGTAATATGGACATTTTCACATTGTTAATTCTTCCAATCCAAGAGCATAGAATGTCTTTTTTTGTCCTCTTTAATTTCTTTCAGCAGCTCTTTGCAATTCTCATTGTAGAGATCTTTTACCTTCTTGGTTAAATTGATTCCTAGGTNAAAAAAAGGAAAAATAAAATTTTTAAATGGAAATCTAAGAAAGCTAGCAGACAACCTTAAGCACATAAATATTCAAATCATGGCTTTCCAGAAGGAGAGGAGAAAGGAAAATGCATGGAAAACCTACTCAACAAGACAATAATAGAAAACTTCCCAGGTATAGGGAGAGACATGGACATTCAGACTCAGCAGGCTCAAAGATCCCCAGATTCAACCCAAAAATATCCTCTCCAAGACATACTATAGTCAAACTGGAAAAGCTCAAAGACAAAGAGAATCCTAAAAGCAGCAAGAGAAAAGTATCAAGTCACCAATAAGGGAGCCCCTATTAGACTAATAGCAGACTTCTCAACAGAAACTCTCTAGGCCAGAAGAAAATGGGATGATACATTGAAAATACTAAAAGAAAAAAATTGCCAGCTAAGAATAATATACCCAGCAAGGCTACCTTCACAAATGAGGCAGAAATAGTGTATTTTCCAGACTAACAAAAACTGTGGGAGTTCACTACCACATGACCATCCCTGCAAGAAATCTTCAAGGGACTCNATGAATGTTAGGATTTTTTCTATTTCTTTGGAGAATGTCATTGGTATTTTGATGGGCATTGCATTGAATCTGTAGATAGCTTTGGGTAATATGGACATTTTCACATTGTTAATTCTTCCAATCCAAGAGCATAGAATGTCTTTTTTTGTCCTCTTTAATTTCTTTCAGCAGCTCTTTGCAATTCTCATTGTAGAGATCTTTTACCTTCTTGGTTAAATTGATTCCTAGGTATTTTATTTTTTTGGTGACTATTGTAAGTGGACTAGCTTTCTTGATTTCTTTTTCTGCTAGTTCGTTGCTGGAGTATAAAAATGCTACTCATTATTGCATTTTCATTTTGATTTCTGCAAATTTACTGAAATAGTTTATCAGCTGTATGAGTTTTTTGGTACAGTCTTTAGGTTTTTCTATATATAGGATCATTTCATCTGCAAAAAGGGACAGTTTGACTTCA